ATCGATTTGGATCGTCTTGCCCAAGTTTCGAGAGCTGCTGCGGCTTGTATTCGATTCAATCGGGGCGATGGCGATGCGGCAATGCAAGACAGGGCAGCAGTGGTTGTTGTTGTTGTTGTTGCGTTGTATCTCGGTCGTCGGTTGGTGTCGGCCGGGATCTGGAATTGTCCGTGCCTACATACAAATGCACGCGTGGCCTCTTTGCTCGGATTCCGTTCTACTTTCTTCGTTCCCTGTTCTTTGTCTGGGGATCGACGAAAGAGACAAGAGCGGGCGGGAGAGCGTACGAATGCAAACGAGGCTTCTCGATCTATCGCACACCTAGTGGGGCTACGCTAGAGCAGTGGCCGAAAAAGAAGGTTCCCGGAAAACGCCGGGAGGTGTGTGTGTCTGTGTGTGTTGGTTATGGTGTGTTGCGGGGCAGGTGAAAACCAACAAGCTGATGACGCCGAGGCAACAACACGATTTTTTTTTTCGTTGTTTGCCCCGCTATCTTTTTCGCTGCGACACAAAAATAAGGGACGCTTCGTATGTGTTTGGGTTCAAGGCATCGATTTTCGTTTGTTTCTTTCGGCCGGTCCCCAAAGTTTCCGTTTGCGGTTTCGGGTGCGTTAGAAACCTCTGGGGTTAACAGCACGCACGTCCCGTTGTTCGTGCTCCTGCGCTGGGTCGGGCTTTTTCAACTCCGTCGCCTAGCCTAAGGGTACGATACTTACCGTACCATACCGTAAGACACCATGCAGGAACGAGACAGCTCGGAGGCGGCAAACCAAATTTTCCATAACCGGTAGGAGTTGTTTTCGTCGGGCGCGCATTCCCACGGGGATATACATATAATATTACGGACGGCACATACGGGACATACCAACCAGATGGTTGTACCACCCAACCGCAACAATAATACTATGGGAAGCATGTAGGGGGTACGCAGACACGAGTACGTACCTACTTGCCATGACCCGTGACCGATCGAATCCTAATGTTTTCGTCGAACCAAACCAACGCAACGCAGAATCTACGTGCAGGGTTTCGCTGACACCCCCCAACACTTCTTCCCCGATGCCGATCCCGGTCGCCAAACCAAGAAATTTCGGTCACTTAAGCAACGGAGGACGGGGGGCGCGTGACCGGGTTGGTCGCGGGCCTAGGAAAGAGGGGCGGGAACCTCCAATGCCGGGAAGGAATCCAAAAATTTCCGGGCCGCTGAAAAGGGGGGATTTCCGGGGTTCTTCGTGGAACAAAGGGGCAGGAAGGAAAAACATGGGGACAGAGAAGGGGGATCTTCCACGACCCGCCGGACCCAATCAAGAACCAGCCACGAATCGGCCCACGCGTTCTCGGACCGCGACGGGGATGGGTGCAATGGGAAGCATCGCACATCTATCGAAGACGGCGAACGCCGTCCCGTATGTGGATCCGTTGGTGTCAACAACGCCTGTTCGAACACGTGCTTGACGCAAACATCGATTGTTTGTTCTTCCTTCCTTCGCTCCACAACATTGCAATACAACTGGTAGCCAACACCCAGTCGGTGCCTTTCCTTTCTACTTTAACATCACAACACAACAAAAAAGAACCAACACAACCAACAACAGGATGGGGTGCTGCTGCTGCGACAACGCGGATCGAAGAAAGACCAACGCCGACTACGCCGACGACGTCGATATGGACGAATGCTGCGGAAGCAAGGGCGGCGCGACCTGCATCTGCTTGTAAGTCTCGAGCAAGGACGGCTTTGCGCGGGGTTTCTTGCCTTTTGATCTCTTTCGACGGGCCGTTGGTCTTTCGTTCGTTTCCGTTCGGACCGTGCCGGACAACCCTCGTGAATCTTCACTCACTCGCTCTCTCTCTCTCTCTCTCTCTCACACACACACACATACGTTCTGCCCCTGTCTCTCTCGCACACATGCGTTCCGACCAATGCAAACAACCACAGCCCGTACAACGACGGATACATCATTGCCGCACAGATCGTATCCATAGTCACCGTGCTGGTGTCCTGGGTGTGGTGGGTCTCCTTTATCGTGAGCACCGTTGTCATGATCCTGCTGCAGATCATCTGGTGCTGCCGCCAGAACAGATGCGGATTCCTGGCCTCGGCGATGGTTTCGGGAACCGCGGCGCTGGCCGGGCTGGGGGGCGGAATCTACATGCTCTTGGTCTGGAAGAACATGGCGTGGTGTGACCCCTTTACCTGGAACACGTGGGAATACGATCCCGATCCCTCCTACCGACAAAGCGACAACTGCTCCGAGGTGGCCTACGCCGTTGTCTCCTTTGTCCTCTCCGCCATGTGGTTCGTGGTCACGGGATGCATCGCCTGGTTTGTTGCGAGCGGGCGCCACGCGCGGTGGGAGAAGCGCTGGGGCAAGCCGCGGGCCGGCGGGGAAGAGGCTGCCGAGGAGGCGGTGGCGGTGGTGGTCCCGGCCGCGGTCCCGGCTTTGGCCCCCGGGGACCCGATCAAGGAAGAGAGCGTGTAGGCAACGCAGAGGGGCCGCAGCCAACGGCACGCACCATGGATCCGGTGTCGTGGGGCCACCGAAAACGAAACGGAAAAAGAGCTAGGAACAGCTGCCGACGCTTCACCCATACCCCGTGGTACCCGGAGAACATGGTTCAAACCGCAACAAACACAATCGATATCAGACCCATTGGATTAAAAAAATCCAACTCGGACCCTCATGATCCATAGTGTGGGTCATTCAAACTATTCCAAATTATCCAAAGCAGAGACAATACGTGTAGAGTAACGGAAACCACTTTGTCGATACACGTGCGTGCCAAGAATCTGGGATCTTTTCATGCAGTAGAAATCAATAGTACTATTCAACCATCAATACATGATAATTTCTTTGAATTGAACACTTGTAATTACGAAAGAAGAGTAGGATATCCGTCTTTCATGTTTAAAATCCCAATTCCATTAGCTGCAGCACCAAAACAAATCAAGTTGAAACAGAAGAGACAAAAATCATGATGTGTTCGTGATATTTGCAGCATCAGTGATAACAAAGCAGTTTCCGCTATTCTTATACAATGACTGCGAAACATGTCTCTTGCCGTATAAAGGAACCAGCGAATACTTGTTACGCAGTTGGATTGTTGCTTAGGAATCCGCCCGGTGCAAACCACCTTTACATTTGCCATGCCACGAATCTGAAAAGTAAGAAAAACGACCAACGCAACCGTCCAAACCTCCGGAACGATTGGAAACCGTTGACCGCGAAGGACATCGAACTACCTCGTTGTCACCGAGGACTATTTCCATACCGGTAGATAGCATTGCGTTTGCGTGCAGTTAAATTTTATTCTATGATTTATCAGTCCTGTGGCGCTTTGTCATCTACTGGGTTGCCGCTTTCTTGCCACGAATCGCCCCTGGGATAGCCATGCAGCCGTGTGTGTATGCGCTTGCTTGCTTGTTTGCTGGGAGGTTTCGAGCTCCCGCTGCGGCGACTACTGCGGGGGAGCCGCGAGGAGCTCCTTCATGGTCGCCGCAATGTCTTGCTTCTGGGGATCCTCGTATCCCCACTTTCCAAAGAATTCCTTCCAGTAGTCCACCAGCTTCGGTTCCGCGGCGTCGAATCCGCGTTCGCCGCTCGCAGCCTTTCCTATGGCCTCCGCGTTGGCGCGGATCGACGGAGACGATTCGAGGACGCTCGCCAGCAGGCGGCCACCCCGGGCCGCAGTCATCCTCGAGGCTTCCGACAGGGCCGGGTCCTGGTGCATGGTGATCATTGCCACCGGCATGACGACGTTCATGCACATGAGGGAGACCAGGTCTTCGGACGACGACGACGACGCCAGCAGGCCGTGGAGGGTTTCCAGCAACAGCTTGGGATCTTTCTCGTCCTCGATGTCGTCGCCATCGGTGGCCGTCAAATATGCCACCATGAACCCACGGATTCCGTCCGAGTGGGAGAGCTGGGCCTCCAGGGACGTCTTGATGGTGTCGTAGGCAGAAACGTCTTCYCCGTTTTCGTTCARTGCCCGAAGGGTTGCCGCCATCTCCGATCCGTACCCRACTTGTTTCATAAAGGGAGCCGTCGACAGCTCGTTGGCATCGGGGAGRTTTTCCAGCAGTGCGTTCCTCGSTACCAACGATGCCCCACGCATGGGGGGGATCCGTGCGSCAACGGGTTTCGTCGGTGCAAAGCCCACAGTCGGATTGGCCATGACCATYGCGGCGATGGCGGACGCTCGGAGGGTAGATTGAAGCGATGRTTTCATTGCGATTTAGCTGGATCGGGTGCGATRCRAATCGAGTTCCGTTTGATTGGATTTCTTCGTGGGCGAGACACTCTTTTCTATGTTTTGGAACGTYGGAYGCCGAACCGTGCTTGTTTTCTTTCCGATAT